ATGTAGATGACAAGTTGATGGGTGCAGAAACCACCATGGCACATGTATACCTATATAACAAACATGCACGTTTTGCACATGTCCCAGAACTTAAAGTATAATTATATATATATATATATATATATATATATATATATATGTATATTCTTTTGTCTCAATAGTTGCAAATCACTGGTGGAAATGGGGGAGTCAATTTTTGAAGGGAACAAGCCAACTCATGAGCTACTTGAAAGCGGAAATGCTGCTTTGAAAAACCTCCAATGCAAGAACCACTTTCCCTTACTTTTATGGCAACAGCAGTTCTCTCTGCAGCTATGTGGAGACTTTAACGGTGTTTATCTGGGACACTTTCCAGAAGTGTCTTGCAGCAGAACCTCGCTATAAAGTTAAATTGTGTGAAACTAACAATGATTTTTCTGTGTGCAAGGGAGGCTAGGAATATCCCAGACATAACAAAAGTAAAATGAGCACAAGCTGTTTCCCATCTTTAAGATAGTTTCAATTCCAGAGGGAATTTAAAAGTTTGGAGTTTAAAAAGCCAAACAGATCATTTATCATAGGTCTAATGTATTAATGGCCACGTGTACCCAATTGATCAAAGCATCCTGGCTGTTGTTATAACCTGCTGGTGGTTCCTACATCAATTGGGGCAATAAAATGATAGGTCAGCTCTGGTCATTATGTTCAGAGAGATATGGTGGTATTTTTTTTATTTTTTATTTATTTATTTATTTTTATTTATGGTGGTATTTTTTAACTTCTCACCTTAGAACTGGTTTTAATTTCAAGAGTTGTGCTTCCAAGATTTCTTTTCTCTACCACTCACAAACTCCACAATTCCCACTGTAAACAACAGCTGCTTCTCTGGTACTTCACTCCCACAAAATGAAATGTGCTTTACTTCCCTGGCTTCAAAAAGGTCATGATATACACTCCTTGCCTACCTCTCCAGCCTTACCTCCTGCTGTCTCCACATCAAAATGTACACATTAGCAATATATGTATAACCCCTTCTCCTTGAGTATGGACCAGATGGAGTGACTTGCTTTTAAGGAGCAAAATACATAAAAAGTGATTCAGTTACAAACGACTGTGCCTTCGATCTTGGCACTCTCCCTTGCCCACTTGCCTGCTGACTCTGCTGAAGCAGGCTGTCATGTTGGCAGATGCCATGTGAAGAGGCCCACATCACAAGAAACAGAAGGAAGAACTGAGGCCTCAGTCTAACCACCAAGCATGGGAGTGAGCTGGGAGACAGAGCCTTCCTGGTCAAGCCTCGAGATGACTGCAACCTTGTGAGTGACCCTGAGCCAGAAGTGGCGCATGGAACTGAGAAAATAAATTTGTGCTGTTTTAAGCCATTATATAGTGGATAATTTGTTATGCAGCAGTAGATAACTAATACATTCACCCAGCAGGGTGGTTATGAGGATGAAATGAGGTAATGTAAGAATTATTTAGCAAAATGCCTGACACCACGGTGGGCACTGCACAATTAGCTCTATTCTCCTTCCTCCTTCTATTTCCATGGCCATCCCCATGGTCCAGGCACCCATCACTTCATGTCTAGATTCCTGCAGTAGCTTTGCAAATAGTTTTCTCACTTTGTCCAGCTGGTTATCTTAAAAAANAAAAAAAAAAAAAAAAAAAAAAAAAAACCGGCTTGCTATTCCTCAAAAGATAAAGACTGATTGACATTCAAGGCTCTCCAGGCTGTCCCCATGCTATATTTCCAAGTTCATTTCTCATTACACTCTCACATCTCACTATCCCTCTACTAAGATCAATATATTCACTATAGCCCAAATATATTTTGTATATTCCCACCCTAGTAACCGTGCTAATAAAATTTTGCCCATTCAGCATTCATTCCCTTTTCTCCTGAGTTCCAAACCACCACTCTCCCTGCCCCATCACTGAAAGCACCATTCCACCACTAAGCTTTTCCAAACCTCAACACCCCATAATGATCTTTTTCCTTCTCTACATTAATAGTATTTACTCATTTGGCATTGAAAAGAGTCTAGATATAAAAGAGGTAGAAGCAATTTCAGGAAGCATCCAGTCCAAGGATTCATTTAACACATAAAGAAATTGAAGCCCAAAGATGAACATGACTCAACTAAATAGTAATAGCACTAGGGCTAAAATTTAAGCCTTAAAACTTCCAGCTTATTCAATTCTAAAAATATTTACCAATTATGCCCATTATGTATATGACAATATAAAATGTCAATAGTTTCTACCAATATACCATTCATTTATTTAACAAAAAGTTAAGAACTATTTACCAGATACTCTGCTTAGAATAGTCTGCTCATAAGGAATTCTGGCTAGTGAAAAAAACAAACAGGTAAGCAACAATTACAATATAGCTTGATATGATCTGTGATACCAGGCTCTAGAGAGACATAGAAGAAAATTCCCTACTTACTTGGTCCTTCCAACCATTCACTCATCAAATCATTTGTTTACTACATAGATAGCAATAAAGAGACAGATAAAATCTTACTTTCCTAAGGAAAGCATACAGGAACAAAAGTTATCTTGAAGCAACTCATGAACAACAAATGCCTGGAGTGTTTAATGTTACTACCATCAAAAATGTTTTTCTAATATGACATCAGATCTGCAAAATTCTGCATTTAAAAAAAAAATGTGGCCGGGCAGTGGTTCACGCCTGTAATCCCAGCACTTTGGGAGGCCAAGGTAGGTGGATCACTTGAGGTCTGCCTGGCCAACACGGCATCTCTACCAAAAAATGTAAAATTAGCCAGGCGTGGTGGCATGCTCTTGTAGTCCCAGCTACTTAGGAGGCTGAGGCAGAAGAATCATTTGAACCCGGGAAGCAGAGATGGCAGTGAGCCAAGACTGAACCACTGCATTCCAGCCTGGGTGACAGAGTGAGACCCTTTCTCAGAAAAAAATAAATAAATAAAAATAGAAATAAAAAATGAAAGCAGAAATTAGGTCTCTCTTTCATGGCACCTCAGAGGCGATCAAAATGAAGCTGAATATCACCTTTTCAGCCACTGGCTGCCAGAAGCTCATTGAAGCAGTCAATGCATGCAAACTTGGTGTTTTCTCCAAGAAGCATATGGCCACAGAAGTTGCTGACGCTCTGGGTAAAGACTGGAAGGATTACGCGGTCTGAATCAGTGGTGGGAACAACAAGGTTTCCCCATGAAGCACAGTGTCTTAACCCTTGGCCGTGTCCGCCTGCTGCTGGGTAAGAAGCATTCCTGTTATAGATCAAGGAGAACTGGAGAAAGAAAGCAATAATCTGTTCATGCATGCATTGTGGATGCCAATCTCAGTTTTTGTAAGAAAAGGAGAGAAGGATATTCCTGGACTGATCCTATGGTGCCTTGTCACCTGGGGCCCAAGAGCTAGGAGAATCCGCAAACTTCTCAATCTCTCTCAAGAAGATGATGTCTGCCAGTATGTCCTTAGAAAGACCTTAAACAAAGAAGGTGAGAAATCTAGAACTACGGCACCCGAGATTCAGTATCTTGTTCCTCCACGTGTCCTGCAGCACAAATGCCAGCATATTGCTCTGAAGAAACAGTATATTAAGAAAAATAAGGAAGAGGCTGCAGAATTTGCTAAACTTCTGGCCAAGAGAATGAAGGAGGCTAAAGAAAAGCACCAGGAACAGATTGCCAGGAGATGCAGATTGTACTCTCTGACAGCTTCTACTTCTCAGTCTGAATCCAGTCAAAATAAGATTTTTTAACAAATAAATAAGATCAGACTCTCAAAAAATCTGGAAATATTCAAATTGTCCCTTTTTGAAGTCTATGTTTTGGAGTCAGAAAGCCCCTGAATATTAAACATCCATTTGTCATTTATTTGCTGAACGATCTAAAGCAAATGGCTTAAACTCTCTCAACTTTAATTATCTTCCATACAGAATGAGAATACCTACCTTGCAGAGTATTTGTGTGAATTAAAACATAAAGTGCCTTAATAAATAATAGCTATCTGCCTTTCAAGTAATCAATACAAAACATTCTACATAGAGAACATTAAAATTATTTGATAACTAACATACATTCAAATTTAATTGAGTGGGCATCTGCATTACTGTCAAACTTTATAATAAATTTCTGCAGTCACTAAAAAAGACAACACTTTGCAAATTTTTCTACAACAGTAATCACTGCAAAAGTCCTTTTACTATTTTCAGGTGACAACATTCTGGGAATTCATTGTATACTAGTTGCTATGTAGAGCGAAAAATAAATCCTGCATTTAAGAAATTCAGAATACAAACGAGAACACAGAGAGAACAGTCCTTTGTGCAAAGTAAGTAAATACTTTCTTGTGGATTTAGTCAATGAGAAAAAGATCCCAGAGAAGAATGCAAAGAATATAGTAAGCTTAATAATCAGAACAAAATGGGATCAATTAGGAAAAACTATATACCGGAAATACTTTATATGGTAGTTGATCCTTTTTAGGTTGACTTTGTATTACAGAGTTTAAAATATGTGATTATTCTGCAGTCTTCTGAGTTAAAATTATTCAAGCGGCCATAAGGTTCAGAAATTCAGACAAACACACCAAATAAATAATTTACTGATACTCCATGATATGTTTAATGTATTGTTTCTCACTAGCAATAAGCTAGTTCAAGAAGCTGCATAAAATTGTAATAAACAATGTGCTCTAAAGCAGCATTTCCATCAATATTTGTACATGTATCCACAACAGATTGCCTCAGACGATTTGTGTGTCTAATTTTCACTGAATCAACTTGTACCTTCAGTACACCCAGGAAGTAGTAAACAAGAGAGTTCAATCTATTAAAAAATATATACATTATCTCCAGACTTTGTGGTCACTTGAATTTTAAGATTCACCTACTCGAAGTCATATAAGCATTTTAACCATTTATATTATACCAAGTAAAGATGAATATTAAAAATGAGATAACAGAGAAAACAACAAAATTAGATTTCTTTTGCTTTCAAATAATTCCACACCAAAACATTTTACTGATAATGAAGTGATTTTTAATTTATAAATAAAGACTCTCTAAATGATTTTCAGGATATATTACAAGTTTAGTTTTTAAAACAGACTTACATTTATAACAGGTCTTACAATGATTTCAATAAATAGGGACTCCAGAGCACAACGTGGAGGTATAACAACCACATGCTGACCTCCTAGTATTCCAAGGGGATCAAGATCTTTTTCAAACACAGAAGGAAATTGGGCTTTCTACAATGCTAACCTTAAGAGCTATTCTCCTTTATAAACTACAATATTATTGTCAGTTTCATATACTTTTACTTTATAAAGAACTCCTACAGGAAGAACTTTCTGGAGGTTGTCCCAGATATAAACAGCTACATTTTCAGTCGTGCTGTAGGAAAAAAAAAAAAAAGTTCAAAATGCAAAACAAAATTTCACATTTACTATTTACAGAGAATGGAAATTCTAGTTTTGAAAGATTTCATTAAATTAAAACTTCAGAAATCACACAGCAATCAAATATTCAAATCAATTCTTGTTTTATAATCTATACATAAGGCAAGATATAGTGCCACCCACCTCACCACATCTGCAAAGTATGGCACATCCATATCCAGATTCTTATGATCAAGGGGCTGCATAATTGCCTCCTAGAAACAAAACCAAGGGAAAAAAATCATTGACTCCATTTAGGACTCAAATTCCAAATTGTTTCACTTATGTCTCTAAACCTTACCCTATTGTTTAGCCACTAACTCAATACTTGTAAGTACTAAATTTGAGTCTTACAAAGCAACCTTACAAAGTTTTAAGTTGTCAGATAAAGTCAGGCGCAGCTGTTGGTAATCATTAGGAATCCTTGTTACTGAATAAAGAGGTGAGAAACCAAAAAGCAGAGAATTTCTGGAGCTTTCTCACAATACAAGCCATTGTGACTCAGAATTCAGTTCAACACTCTGTGAATCCTGCCCAAAGAGTTAGCACAAATATTTTTCTGTAACACTGTCACACCTATGAAACAATGCCACAATATCATGAGGACAAAGATCTAGTGACTACTACATTTTATAAAGCAGATGTAGACTGATATTATTTAAGTAGCTCTAAATTTCTGCTATAAGGAGTAATTTAAGAATAATTTTGGGCTCATAGAAAGAAAAATATAAATATGTAAAGACTATTACTCCCTAATGCTTATGTGTATCAACATAATGTTTTTCCTCATCATCAGTAACGATTAAATTGCCTTATTCTTTCTAGGTTTTTGCTTTTAGCTATTACAAAAAATCTAAGCATTCGTGAAAAAAATCTAATTTTCCATATGGCATAGTTTCAAGAAGGGTACATTGATAAGCGTAATAGCAATCATTTCCTGAGAAAAACTAGAATCATACAAAAAAGAGTAAGTCCTAGGTCAAACAGTAGTTGAAATAGATCCAATGAAGGGATGCTCCACACAAATAACAAGAAAATAAGTATCTTTGCTTCATCTTCAACCCGAGTTCCAGTCCTAAGTTCTCCATTAAGGCCTCTTATGCAGGGCTTTTTGTTTTGCTTTGTTTTTAGAGACAGGGTCTCTGTCATCCAGGCTGGAGTGCAAGTGGCACAATCATAGCTCACTGCAGCCTCGAACTCCTGGGCTCAACCAATCCTCCCCCCATGGCAGGGCTCTAACTTCACTCTATATGCCATGATGAGCCACTTTTACTGATGAAAGTATGTGGTGTCCTTTAGGCATGCAACAGTAGAAAGCAGCATAGAGAACCCCTCCTCCTGTACTTAGTCATATGTGAGGACTTTCACATTGCTGTCTTATCTTTTTCTTTCTTCCTTTCTTGCTTTTCCTTTCCTCCTGTCTCTCTCTCTGTCTCGCTCTATAATTGAAGAATAATCTTGGGCTCATAGAAGGAAAAATATAAATATGTAAAGACTCTCTCCCCACACAAACCCCCACCATAAATGCATGCAGGCGCTATCTCTATAATTTTCCTAAAGAATTTTGAGCACAGTGCTGCTTGTTCATTCACTCATTCTTTTACTCATTTATTCAATCAATAGTTACTTAACACTTACTATTCTTCACCTCCTAGAAAAAGTAATATATACACTCTGTGGGCTACATTTCATTCATGTTTGTATGCTTATCTCAAAAACTGAGGCAAAGTAGACAAATTTGTTAAATACATGGACAATAAATAATGTGAAAGAAGTAATCATTACTAATAACATCATTTTAATAAAGCATCAAGACTGGCAACATGGTGAAATCCCATCTCTACTAAAAATACAAAAATTAGCCAGGTGCAGTGGTGCAAGCCTATAATCCCAGCTACTCAGGAGGCTGAGGCAGGAGAATTGCTTGAGCCCCAGAGGCGGAGGTTGCAGTGAGCCAAGGTTGTGCCACTGCACTCCAGCCTAGGTGACAGAGCGAGACTTCATCTCAAAAATAAATAAATAAAGCAAGCAAATGTCAAATTTCAGAACAAAAATAAGCTGCAAGTGAAATGATGGCATAATAAAACAGCTGGATGGAAAGAAATCTACTCCCAACTTTGCAAATGACTAACCACATGACCTGGGGCAAGTCAGTTAACTGCTTAGCATCTCTCAGTCTTAATCTATGGATTGAAGAAGTTGGTTTGAATAATCTCCAAAGTCTCTTACAAAAAAGAATTGTGTAATGACACGATCAGTTAAGTTCTTCATTGAACACCTTTCATGTTATCTCTATGAAATACTGTTCCAGTGAGTTAGTTTATTTATTTATTTATTTATTTATTTTATTTTATTTTATTTTATTTATTTTTTTTTTTTTTTGACGGAGTTTCGCTCTTGTTACCCAGGCTGGAGTGCAATGGCGCGATCTCGGCTCACCACAACCTCCGCCTCCTGGGTTCAGGCAATTCTCCTGCCTCAGCCTCCTGAGTAGCTGGGACTACAGGCACGCGCCACCATGCCCAGCTAATTTTTTTTTTTTGTAGTTTTAGTAGAGACGGGGTTTCACCATGTTGACCAGGATGGTCTCGATCTCTTGACCTCGTGATCCACCCGCCTCGGCCTCCCAAAGTGCTGGGATTACAGGCTTGAGCCACCGCACCCGGCCTCCAGTGAGTTTATAATAAAGCTAGAGTGAATAACACAGTGTGGTGTCTAAATCTATAATCAAAGGTACAATGAATATTCAGAGAGAGAAGAGAAAGCTCCAAGGAGAAGGCCAGGAGCAGTGGCTCATGCCTGTAATCCCAGCACTTTGGGTGGTCAAGGAAGAAGGAGTTTGAGACCATATATATATATATATATATATATATATATATATATATATATATATATATTAGTATATATATACATACATGTGTATATGTGTGTGTATGTATGTGTAAGAAAGAAAGTCTCAAGGAAAAACCTACGTCTTGAAAGAAAGGTAGAATTTGTTAAATGAAGGAAATCAGGATAGTCCAACAAGGAATACAAGGTGAGCATATTTCCTCCCATCGCTGTAACACAACAGTGACTAATTTCTGTTAAGTCACCAAAACACCTTTAGAGGCCATGTGAGTATTCCTCCAACTATTCCCCAACTCCCACACCCAATTCTACTCTACAACTTTGTGAGTTGGGGAATAGTCATGGAACCTTAGGAGATAACTGGTTGGGGAGGTAGATAGGGGGCCACCAAATACTATACTTAGGGACTAGCACATAATAAGCACCCAACATGCCATTACCTCCATATGTTTTTTGAGATCAGTCAAATTCATAACCATTCCCGTAGCAGGGTCAATCTAAAGAATAAACAAAGGTGAATATTACTCTCATAGGCTCTCCATATTAAACGGCTGGCAAATTATTAAAGGTAATACAATGTGCAGAGACTATGCCCACATTTGCCTTCATTCCAGAGATAATCACTAACCTCAGCACGGAAGCACCATGTACTTCAAGCACCCTTTTCATTGTATAGCCCTTCTACCTGTCCACATACAGCACATTAAACACAACACTTTGGTAGAGGAGGGGCATGAAATGGCAGCAGCTCACCACACACACACATACAAGAGCCAACAATGAAGCAATACTGACTGGAACAATTTTCAACACAGAATCACCACACAGGCTAAAAGAGAGCCCAGCAATCTGCACAAACCACACAAATATTTTCTGCACGTACCTCTCCATGTACTGTCACCACAACTATGGAAAGAAAACAAAATACCAAAAAAAAAAAAAAAACAGCATGACTTTCAACAGATTAACATCCAAGCACAAATCAGCAACATATAAGCACAGTTGACAACGTAAATTATTAGGTCTGTCCCCCAAAGCTATACTTAAACATTTACCCAAAACACTTTGTTATTTTAGGTAAGATCTTTTTTTTAAATCAACCAAAGCAAGACGCAAGCAAGACAGAGGAGCTTAGTAGGAACTTTGGCTAATCAGAGGCCCTCAACCAAGGCTGAAAAGGATGTCAATTCTGCTTATGATGCTGATGCTCTAGGGAGAATGAAGACGCTGCTCAATCTCTGCCTGTAGAAGTAGAAAATGCACATGTAGGTGTCTAGCTACACAGCAAGCTGGTCCAATACTGAGCAGAACCTTTCTGAACAAGCAAAACTATTACTGGCCTTAAATTCTTATCCCTTTACTCACATGAATGTAAATCAAAGTCTAAAGTAATGCTTTGTAAATTAACAAGTGCTTGTGAGAAGCATTTGAAAAATCTTGACCAGGCATGGTGGCTCATGCCTGTAATCCCAGCACTTTGGGAGGCCAAGGTGGGCAGATTACCTGAGGTCAGGAGTTTGAGGGCAGCCTGGCCAACATGGTGAGACCCTTTCTCTATTAAAAATACAAAAATTAGCCAGGCATGGTGGTGGGCACCTTTAATCCTAGCTACTCGGGAGGCTGAAGCTGGAGAATCGCTTGAACCCAGGAGGCAGCGGATGTGGTAAACAAAGATTGCGCCACTGCACTCCAGCCTGGGCAACAAGAGCAGAGCTCCATCTCAAAAAAAAAAAAAAAAATCTTGATCCGTGCTTTACACATTAATAACTTTTATGAATTTACGTATTTTAGCTCTCTACAAATACCATTAGGTATTACATGATAAGTTAGTACACTGAGACTGAGATACCACAGATTAAGGAAAAGGCAGTAACTAAACTAGCAATCCTAATCTCCTGACACCATCTGGTCTTTTTTATGCCACCACATCACATACTGTTTTATACTCTATGGCTTATGTAGCTGTTATTTTAGGCAGGCTGTACCTTAAAGAATCAAGTCTCTTATCCTTGGATAAATTATCTACTTTTTTGGAAAACTATTGGCAAAGCTTTAGACCAAACTTATTTTTCTGCCATACACTACATTCCTAGGCAACATTCCCCTTTTGCCAGTCATTATTTACTCAAAGAATAAAATCCAATTTTAACATTAGCCTTAGCCATACCTAATCAAAAGAAACATGCTGCCAAAAGAAACTTAATTGTGTGATCTAAGACAAAGAAAAATGCTTAAAGCATTAAACCATTCAGTTTTGAACTGTTTATAAGAGTTGACAATTGCAAGGTAAAACTTAACACACACCCATCCAAAACAACAGATCCTTTCATTCTGAATTCTCATTTAACTTCTCATTCGAGGCTCAAAGCATTCACACTATATTTGCTGAATACTCTTTCATCCTTATTGAAGGACTGAAATGTCATCAGTTTTTCTCTCACCTTTATAATTGTGCCCATGGCCATTTGGATTGCTGCATTTCCCAAACAGTTTCAAGTTTTCTTCATCACTTAGAAATTTACTAACCAAAACAAAACACAAAGTCAGCATGACACAAGTATCACCATTCAAACCCCCTTCTCTGTTCCCTATATATATTATTTGCTCTGATCTTTGAAAAGTTTCCCAATTTGTTATTACTTTAGCTCATCAAATGGGGAGTCAGAAATCATGTTGATTTCATTTCTCATGCATACGTCAGAAACCAGTGCATATTCCCTAATTAGAAGACTGTACCAGCCAGGCACAGTAGCTCACACCTGTAATCCCAGCACTTTGGGAGGCCGAGGCAGGTAGATCATAAGGTCAGGAGATTGAGACCATCCTGGTTAATATTGTGAAACCCCGTCTCCACGACAAATACAAAAAATTAGCCGGGGGGGGGTGGCATCTGCCTGTGGTCCCACCTACTTGGAAGTTGAGACAGGAGAATCACTTGAATCAGGGAAGCGGAGGTTGCAGTGAGCCGAGATTGCACCACTGTACTCCAGCCTGAGCAACAGAGTGAGACTCTGTCTTAAAAAAAAAAAAAAAAAAAAGACTGTACCATACAAATTAGCACAAACAAACCTTAACTTCAATCCCACCACAACTAATCTGCTTATGGGCCTTCCACTTTTCAATTTAACATTACTGACTGAGTGCCTACAATGTGCTAGGCAAGTGCTGAATGACATAACAGTACATAATGATAAACAGAGATGGTGATTCACAAAGTGACTATTTCATTTCTCTCAGAAACTAAACTACTCATTCAGAAAAAAATAATTAAAAAAGTAATTACAAGGCCTGGTGAGTCTCCTATTTAACATTCTTGATTTACTACATCTCAACTATTGCCTCATGAGAACTTTACCAATCTGTTGAGGAATATTCAAAGCAGGTGAGTTTTTAAAATTACAACTGTAATTTTAAACATTGTTGTCTCAGACAGAAAACAAATTGCTTAATGAGTGTTTATAACTATACCCGTCCAATCAATTTTGCATCGTCAATGAGGCCTTACCACCCTCAGGTGTTTGGGCTTATTTTACCACCCCTTTCTTTTTGCGATCTTCTTTATTATTCCCCCCAATGTAGTTTGGATGTCTGTCCCCTCCAAATCTCATATGCAAATGTGATTCCCAACACTGGAGGTGGGGCCTAGTGAGAGATGCTTGGCTCATGGGGGTGGATCCCTTATGAACAGCTTGGTGCCCTCCCTGAAGTGATGAGTGAGTTCTCGCTCTATTAGTTAATGGGCGAGCTGGTCGTTAAAAAGAGTCTGGCACCTCCTCTCCTCTCTCTTGCTCCCTCACTTGCCCTGTAAGTTGCCTGCTCCCCCTTCTCCTTCTACCATGAGTGGAAGCTTCCTGAGGCCTCAAAAGAAGCAGATGCTGGTGTCATGCTTCTTGTACAGCCTGCAGAACCAAATAAACCTCTTTTCTTTATAAATTACCCAGTCTCAGTATTCCTTTATGGCAATGCAAAAATGGATTAACATGCCCCTACTTTCTCCTGCTCAGCCACTTCTTGTATTTAAAAGAAGGCTAAGTCTTTTGCACAAAATTCTCAGTATACCCTCCACAAAATTGACCAGGCTGTAAATCCCATACAAGATCCCTGCTGCATCCGTTACCTAGCACAAGCACTGACAAGCACGAAACAAACCCTCGTTTAGCGAATGGAGGGATGAATCCTGTTAGGAATGGTTATCCTCATTTTTGCAGACGAGGATATGGAGGGCCAGAGAGGGGAGCTTGTTATATAGAGTGTAAAACTCCTCAAAATCAACTCTTCAGTGCATGCAAGCGGTATGGAAGCTCAGGGTTCAACTATGCTGCTTGCTTCGGAAACCAAACATCTGGTTTCGTTTTTTTTTCTCCTAGCCACTCTCACCAGGGACTGGTTTCATTCTATCTTTGGTAAAAAGGGGCTAAAACTTGCCTTGTGATTACGTTAGATATAGCCGCCAATGCTCCTGGCTTACAAAATTACCTAACATTTACTGGGTGTCTACGCAGCGCCGGGTACCGTGTAACACAGGCAAGTTTAACACCGCTAAGCCTCACAGCAGCCCTGTGGTCTACACCAAGGAACTCCGAGAGGCAGAGACATTTCTTCCGAGTTGCAGAGCCGGGTGTGGGCCCCGCACCCAGAAATGGTCCATCGCCCTCCGCAGTCGGCTCCGTTAACCACCAAGCTCCCCGACCCCTCCAGGGTTGGGGACACCCCAGCCGCCATCGGGATGCGACCTGCCGCCCAAAGCCCGGCGAAGGCGCCCAGCGAGCTCCGCCCTCCATCAGCTGCTTCGCCCGGAAGCCCTTGCGCCCCCCACCCCGGGTCCGACGTCAGCACGCCCCCCGGCCCCGCCCCGGTGACGTTCCGAGGCCCGGCGCCCTCCGCCCGCCGCTGCACCTGTGTGCACACTCTACCTGTGCAGCCGGTGGCTCGCGCTGAAGGAGATGCGGCGGGACACTTGCGCCTTGGGACGACGGCCGCCACCCACCACGCTCATCATCTTCTCGGCGCCGTCTGCGCCGCTCGGCCGGCACCTTCCCCGCGGCGCGGCCTGCGCCTCCCTCCGCGGCTGCGCAGTGCGGGCCGGCGCGCCCCTGGGGAGCGCGGCTCCGCTTTGGCTCCGGCCAATCCCGGTCTTGGGAAACAGTTACGCGCGTCCCTCGCTGTTTGAATCTCTTCCGAGACCAAGAGTTCCCAGAGCTAAGCCTACCCTGGAGCGGTCACGGTGGGTGGGGACTCGGTGTCCTTGATCTGTCTGTCTGCTCCGTCTGAGGTCACGCCACGTGGTTAGGGCCCGTCTGGGCACACTTTGGATCCCGAGTCACCTCTCTGAGCCTCCCCTCCCACTCTCTCCTGTAAAGCTCCAGTGGCTGGTGACTAGCGGATGAGCCCTAGGGCCACAGTCTGCTTTATATACCAAAAGGAGCAGGAATTGAGCCAGGCGGGTGAGGTGGCGCACTCCTGTAGCCCCAGCTGTTGGGAGGGAGAGGGATCCCGTCAACCCAGGAGTCCAACCTGGGCAATAGAGCAAGACGCTCGTTCCTTTAAAAAATTTTTTTAAAAAAAGCAGGACTTGAGAGCACGAATAGGACCACGTGGCAACAGTCCTTTGGACTGTTGTGTAATGATTCTTACTAAGGGAAATTCTAAAGTCATTTTTATCATCCACAAGCGTGTATGGACCCATTTATCACTCTGGGTGATGAACCATATGGCACAGTGTGAACACAGGCACCTCTGAACACATATTAGCAATTTTCCGGCCAGTGTAAGACACGTTGAGAGTGAAACGACCTTGTTTCCTCACATCTACTCACAAGGGTGTCCAAACTACACACAGTTCCCAGAATCATGTCACCTCTTGCTTCCATTCATTCATTCATTAAATATGTATTAGGCAGCTTCTGTGTGCCTGGCATTGTGCCAGGTACTGGGGAGGACAGCTCCACTGTGTATGAGAAAAATCAAATGATGAAAAGCAGGACAAGTCAGCGATTAATAACAGACTTGGAAAAGTTTCCTGTAAAAGGAAAGATAAAATCATGGAAGTGATAGAAATAAGCTCAAATGGTGGTTTCCTTCAAACATCTCCTATTTACAGCTGTATATCTGTTCTGCATTAAACTACTAACGTTATTTAGCAAACACCCTCTCTACATTTTCAGATGTTTGTCTCATCTACCCCACTGGACTGTAAAGAAAAAACTTCAAAGAAGATTCAGAGATTTTCAAGATAGAGACTATTTAGTTCAATACTTTCACTTTACAGATAAAAAAAAATACAGCCCCAGATAAGTGAATTACTATTGCAAGATCACTCAGAACAGAAACATTATCTCCCAGGTATTGACTGTCTCAGAGCTAAATACTCTCTAACAGTCAGTGGTTACACAAATAGTTGCTCATTCCAAAACCAGTTTAATGAATCAAAATGAAAGAGAAAATTCTGTAAAATTATTTTTATTAATAATACTGGTTTGTTTTAGTAAAATATTTCACTGCATTTGCAGAGTTGGAGTTTAACCTATTTGGAAATAGGATTGTTGCACATGTATTGGGCCGTAATCCAACATGACTGATGTCCTTGTAGAAAGGGGAAACTTGGACTCAAAGACTGACAAAGTACAGAGGGAAGACGATGTGAAGACACAGAGACAACACCATCTCCAAGCCCAGGAGAGGGGATTGGAACAGATCTTTCTTCAGAGCCCTCAGAAGGGACAAACCAACCTTGATTTCAGACTACTAGCCTCCAGAATTGTAAGACAATTCATTTCTGTTAAGACCTCTGTAGTACTTTGTTATGACAGCCCTAGCAGACTCACACACTAACCAATAAGCAAATAACATTCCTCTTAACCTAGCTTTCAGTGCTTTGAGATCAGCAGCCATTTAAGTGTAGTTCCCACTTCACTCTTGCAACATTTACTGGCTTGTGTTTGACTGCCTCGTCTCAGAAGGCTAACTTCTATTAAAAGATACCATAAGCTACTCCAATGGACATACACTGGCAAGGCAGGCCCCATATCCGTCACCTTCCAGTCCTCATTCACTTATTAAGTAACAAAAAAAAAGTGTTTAATTAACATCTACTGAATACCAAGTGCACTGCTAAGTGCCAGGGGCACACTATGAGTAACAAACACATGGTCGCCATCCTCATACAGTTCAGGTTAGTGAGAGAGCTAAACACAGAAATCATGACAAACTAAACAAAAAAAAAAAGAAACTAATTCTCCCTCAGGAAGTAAAAGAAGGCTTCAAAAAAGAGATGACTTTTGGGCTGGATTTTAAGGTTCACCAAGTAGATGAGGGAATTCTAGGAAGAGACAATAATGTAAGCAAAGGAAATGTGGAAGAGTACAACTTGTTTAGTGCATATTGACAAGTTCTTGGTTACAGTGGGAACGTAAGTGAGAGGTAAGATTGGAAACATTAATTGGGGACCAAATTATTGAAAGTTCTTGAATGTCACTTCAGTATAAAGGAGACTTCAACCCCTTATCTCCCTCCTGGCTCCCCACAAGAAGGGAATTTTCATCTGCTTGAATCACATTTCCAGGCACTGGTTGGGTCTTACTTACAGGCAGGCCTACAATGTGTTAACAGTACCACACATGGTGTGGCTTACTCTCTGGAGCTATGCTCAGAGGAAAAATAAAACAAAAAACGAGGCAAAGCTCTCTCCTACTCCCCCTGCACCAAGGAGGCCTAGCTGTCTGGTTCATATTTTTTTCTACTGCTTCCCTCCTGTGGAGGACCCAACCTGCCCACTTGCCTCTTCCTTTTCCCCTCAGTTGTGCACCACTTGCTCCCTTTCCTTGAATCCTCAGACACTGGCTAGTGTTAAGAGTTAGACTTAGGGAGGAAGAGGCCCTGCCTATGCTTTGGGCCTTGGTCATATGCTTACTCACTTTTACCAGAACTTTCTCCCTTGGATTACCAGGCAAATGTGCCTAGATTATAACATGCCATGATCCTTTTTTTTTTTTTTTTTTTTTTCTTCAAGAAACTTAAAAGAGCAGAGCCAAGGCAGAATTCAGGTATCCTTAGGTCAAAATGTTATGATTGTACTGCTATCCTTCATATGTCTGAACTTCATTCGCTGTGTATTAAGATAGAGATTTGTAAACAGAGGAAAGATGTGACAGATCTATAGACTCCCCAGAGGTCATCCAGAGTCTCCCTCACCCTTCAGATCTCGTAAGACCAATCAAATCTCCATGTTTTGTCTGAGGAAGTACAATGACTGCCTTTTCAGGGACTTGTGTGAGAGGAAACACTGGAGGACTTACATTCTCATGGTTACCTGAGGCTCTTTGCATCTACATCTGCTGTATTAGTTCTGTTTAGGCATCTTCTTGCCATTCTAAACATACTGCTGTGTTCTGCATCTCACAAACCCAGACATGGAACTCAGCCCTTTTACTTTACTCACAGTGCAAAGCCCCACACGTGGCATTTGCATGTATGCAATACATCACTAAAGAAGATACGGTCTGTGAAGTTTGAAGTGACTCTTAAGGAAAATTAGACAGGAAACTCTGTTAGTCCAGGACCGTGCAGAGAGCCTAACCATGAGTTCACAGGTGTCCCATATTATATGTGGGGGTCTTCTCTAGCACATTCACCATGCAGAAGGAGCATAAAAAGTTTGGTCCTGGAATGGAGTTCAGTGGAGGGAAGTGAGTGTAACTGAAGGAAAAGGGAACAAGGGATTTTGGGGGTGTTGGTAAGAGTGGTTTAAGTAACAGACCTCGCCTGCCTACAGCTGTTGGTAAGAACAGGCAGGGTTTAGAAATGTGGAGATTGTATGGTCTCTAGTGCCACCTGTTGCCCAGTTAAATGAAGAACGACTGGTTTGTCATCAATCCCTGTAGAACTATACACCTACAGATTAGAAGAAATGTCTGATTTTAGTGATGTTCCTCAAAATAATCTCCCAAAGCAGAGCTGAGGGTGGGGAGGGGCAGGTAGTGGGTGGTACATAAGAGGGTTGTGCAGCTGCAGTAGCATCTGCTGGGGACAGCAGAGAAAGAACCAGTTTAGAAGAAGCTTTCAAGCAAGATATAGCCAGCTTCCGGTCTTCTGAGTACCTTACGACCAATGGTAATAGGCAGACTGTGATGGAAAGAACAAAGTGCTTTTCAGATTTATATTCAAAGTCTACTATCTATGATCATTTATATTTCTTCTCCTAGGACCTCTGTCACCCACCAATCTGATGGTGGAAATTGACAGACCAGGAGCACGATTATTTTGGACAAACCGTCACTTTAAACCTCATGCATTTCAAAGAAATCACTTCTCTTCTAACTACAAGCAAACAGAAAAAGCAGACAGTAAAATACAAATAAAACAGCTCAGGGTCAGAGGGAAGTAAGGGGAAAGTCTCTTAGGTAACTGCCAAATTTCACCCTCATACAGTGTAAAACAGTGGGCCTTAATAAGCACATTCCTTTCCCTTCAGGTACACTAAGACAGGGAAGCTAAAAGCAGACATGTGGGGTATGCCTATGGCTGCAAAAAAAAAAAAATTGTATGGGAACAAACACACAGCTCTCCCTCCTAAATAAGTACAACAAAGACCCACAGAAGCAGTCCAAGCCTCTGGTAAACTCTCCCACCCTAAATCCTTAAAAACTCTTAGTCTGTAAAAAAGTGTGCCTCTAACCTAACTCTGCCAAAAGGTTTCTCTCAGGTTTGTTTTCTCTAAAATAAACCTGTCCTAACTGGCAAGCCACCTTTCATGTTTCTTTCCTCTTTCTTTAATTCTTAATGACCAAAATACATGAATTTTTCTTTGCTATATTCCTATTATTACCTAGAGGTAGATATATCCAATAAATGAAATTTAAAACTCTCTTCAAAAGGTTATATCAATACTTTCTTATTTCAAGGAAGAGCCCTAAAAAATAGATAAAATCGTAATCATCTTATGCATTCTGCTTTGGGGTGTTTTTTCTTAAGAAACATGAGTGCCAAAGTTTTACTTGTTCATTTCTTGCATTTGAAGTACTCTTGGCCTATGCTTCTTTGCCATAGTCCTTAAATACTACACAACTGCAGCCAACCACTTTTTGGGGTTTTCCCTCTGTCAGTTTTACAGAGGCCTACCCATTCCCCTGGTTTCTTGTTGTCATCAGCCTTAATTAGGGTGAGTTGGTGTTCAGCACCATGAGCCTCCACCAACTTGACATACATAGGCTCATTGCAGTTGGGTGCAAGCAGACAAAGGTGGGCTTGGTGCTTATCTAAGGCTTTGGCAGCTTCACAAATTGCACGTGCTAGGCCATCATGGGTGAGGGCAGTCTTCCGCATCTCTTGTGAAGCAGTGTTAACATCCATGACACCTCCAGCCTCCATTGGCCACGATGGTGAGTTAAGGGTAAAAGAGGAGGTCAGATGCACTCGAGCCTCTGTCATGGCATGACTTGGCAGTGGCAAGGAAATAGCGAATTCTATTTTTAACAGAAATTTTTAAACCAAATGTCTATTTGGGACATTGGTTTGAGAGGTAAGGTGCCCTTTTTGCTCTGTCTTTTATATAAATAAAAGTGCATTCTTTGTTCTTTTTATTTTTACTTTAGATTCTTAGGTACATGTACAGGCTTGTTACATGGGTATATTGTGTGATGTTGTGGTTTGGGCTTCTAGGGACCCCATCACCCAAATAGGGAACACAGTACCCAGTAGGTAGCTTTTTAACACCCACCCATCTTTCTCCTTGCCCTCCTTTTGGAGTCTCCAGTGTTTATTTCTCCAGTCTTTCTGTCCAAGTCCACACTTATTTTAAACCTAGTTTCCAGACCTTGTGGTTGTCCAATCAGATGGGTATGAATGTACCATGGAACCCATAAGGCATCTGCACAGGTACCTCTGCTCGGCCCAGCTCTTCAAAGTTCTTGGCATCCAAAACTAGGAGAAAATTGCTTTCATTCTAGAAAAGGAAAGACAATATTGAAAATTCTCTTTTTTTCATCAAAATTTTGCCTGTCTCCTCCACAAGGCTGTAAAATTCCTAGTAGAGAAACAATGTTGGTCAGGCACGGTGGCTCACACCTGTAATCCCAGCACTTTGGGAGGCTGAGGTGGGTGGATTGCTTGAGCTTAGGGTTGAAGACCTGCCTCAGCAACATGGCAAAACCCCATCTCTATAAAAAATACAAAAATTAGCCAGGCATGGTGGTGCACACCTGTAGTCCCAGCTGCTCAGAGGCTGAGGCAGGAGGATCGCTTGAGCCTGGGAGGCAGAGGTTGCAATGGGCTGAGATTGTGCCACTGCACTCTAGCCTGGGTGACAGAGCAAGACCCTGTCTTAGAGAGAGAGAGAGACCATGTCTTACACATCTTCCTATCTCTCCCCAGCACCTAGCACAGTGCCTCACCTATACCCTCACAGAATGTTGCCTCAATTGCTGAACTGGACTGAAAAGGAAATCATGGCTAAAGAAGTTCATACCTAGAGCAAATAAATTAAGTTGTTTCTATCATCACCTTCATAGGATTTCTTTGAGTTTAATCCTTTTGCTTCCTCCTTTCCAATCTTCTAAAAGACAGGAACTCTTTCTTCCAAGTTAGAAATGCCTCCATTTTGTGTTACCTTGGAGCTGGTCAAAGGGCAGTATTGCAAGGCAGACTGAGCTCTGCCAGATTTAATTCCAGGAGTGACAAGTGCATGGCATGAGGACAAAGTCCTCCTAAAGTCCATGGCAGACGTGACTGATCACAGCCTTTTTCTCACTGAACCCTTAAAAGGCATCAGAACCCTGCACCCCAGGCAGCCACTAATAATTAATCAAAGCTGATACTCCAAGTGAACCTGTTTGCCATAAGATTGCCCTAGACAAGAAGTCAGATGGTGAATAGTGTTATTGAGACACTGGACCAGGACTAATGGCACTGGACTTGGAGGTCAATTCACTGCAATTGGCAGCACACATGATGGTATAAACATCAGACTGGGAGTCAGAAGACTTGGATTTAAATACTGGCTTTACCACTATGAGATCTGATGCAAGTCTACTTCAACTTCTTCACTTTAGAAATTCCACATGTGGCCGGGCACAGTGGCTCAAGCCTGTAATCCCAGCACTTTGGGAGGCCGAGGCGGGTGGATCACGACTTCAAGAGATCGAGACCATCCTGGTCAACATGGTGAAACCCCGTCTCTACTAAAAATACAAAAAACATTAGCTGGGCATGGTGGCACGTGCCTGTAATCCCAGCTACTCAGGAGGTTGAGGCAGGAGAATTGCCTGAACCCAGGAGGCGGAGAGGTTGCAGTGAGCCGAGATCGCACCATTGCACTCCAGCCTGGGTAGCAAGAGTGAAACTCCGTCTCAAAAAAAAAAAAAAAAGAAATTCCACATGTATAAAATGGTATCTGGCAAAGTTGTTTTGATAACTAAATATGTGTAAAAGTAGTTCATAAATAACAAATTCCTATGCAAATATAAATTGTTATTATGGTCTTACAAACAGAACTTTAAAACAATAAAATATGGATTGAGATAAAGGGGTATGTAAATAGTGAGGAGGGGAAGAGAAGGGAGAAGGAATCAAAGTAAATTTTCGACAGCATCAGTGAGCATCCTTGATTTATCAGATGACTCTGCTACTTTTCTTTCTGACTAGTGCTAGGGAAATATATTTACCTGGTTGGGAGTGATCACCACAGAAAGAATAACCCCACCATCTTCTTCATTGCTTCCTGGTACTGGAACAAAAATAGGTTCTGAGGGATAAAAGCCATCTTCTCTCCAAACCTGCAAGTCCCAGAAAAAGCATTCAATAAAAGGCCAGTAGTTAAGTAGGGAGCTTTCTATGGCTTTTGCCACTCCAATCATGAATTTGGCTGTGATACAGTTTGTATGTGTGTCCCATCCAAAGCTCATGTTGAAATGTGGGCCTGGTGGGAAGTGTTGGGTGATGGGGGCCAGTCTCTTATGAACAGCTTAAGCACCATCCCCATGGTGATAAGTGAGCTGTCAGTCTATTAGTTCATCTGAGAGGTGGTTGTTTTAAAGGACCCTGGCACCTCCTCCTCTCTGTCTTGCTCCCACTCTCTCACCATGTGACATGAGTCTCCCCCTTTGCCTTCTGCCATGACTGTACGCTTTCTGAGGCCTCATCAGAAGCTGAGCAGATCCTGGTACTGTGCTTGTACATCCCACAGAACCATGAGCCAAATAAATAAACCTCTTTTCTTTATAAATTACCCAGCCTCAGGTATTTCTGTATAACAACACAGAACAGATTAACACAGGCTGTCAATAGAATATTCCAAAAGAAAAAGAATCAGGCCTACTGAGTTGAATATCGGAGAAAGGAGATTTTGCAGTCCCAGATATTCCATCACCGTCAAACACAATTTGTGTAACTATAATTTCCCATCAACTTGAAACATAGGTGTCCCAACAACCCTAACCCCACAGTTGCTCCAAAAATAACATCAAGATCAAACAGAGAATTAATTTTGCTGTGCTTAGGGTCCATTTGGATTTCCTAGAAGGAACATACCCTTAACTTAGATGATTTCATAGTTCTCAAACCTAATAAAAGAAAATGGCTGTGCTGTTTAAATGTTGAAGAATCTTAAGAGCTACGTTAAATAAAACAAATTCAAAGGGAAGAACAGGTCTCTGAAAAGTTCAAAAAGGAAAGAGATTTTCATCACCTTCAGCGTCTTATTCACCACATCAACCTTGATCAGAGAATCCCCCAACAAATGCCGAAAGCCACAGCCATAGAAGAAACGATACTTTTTGCCATTGAATTGGGCATAGTTGATCTGAGGAAATTCAATGCCTCCTTCCTTGTCTAGGTCCTCCTGATGTAGATTTTCATGAGAGCACCAGATCTAAGAGAGATTTCAAAAGGTTTTGTAGTGGTTGCTTAATTTTTTTTTTTTTTTTTTTTTTTTTTTTTTTTTTTTTTTTTTTTTTTTTTTTTTTGAGATAGAGTCTTGCTCTGCAACCTCCACCTCCCGGGTTCAAGCAGTTCTCTGCCTCAGCCCCCCGAGTAGCTGGAATTACAGGTGCCTGAAACCACACCCAGCTAATTTTTGTATTTTTAGTAAAGACAGGGTTTCACCATCTTGACCAGGCTGGTCTTGAACTACTCATCTCGTAATCCACCCACCTCAGCCTCCCGAAGTGCTGGGATTACAGATGATGGTTGCTTAATTCTTATTTTCCTCTTACATAGGTCAGTGAGGAGCCTAGTATCCTATAAAAGTTTGTGACAGGGCTTGAGAACTGAGGTTCTATGTCATTTTTGAATATTGTTCCTCTTTCCATCATACATGTGGATGCATAATGATTATCAAGTTTTATTAATAAGCTATCAAGTGGCATAGGAGATCGACATATGCTTTTCATTCTTCTAAAGCTAAGGCATTGACAGCCACACAATGATAGGCCTGTGCTAAGCACATATTATCTAAAAGGTAGTGATTGCAGCTGGACGCGGTGGCTCCCGCCTGTAATCCCAACACTTTGGGAGGCCGAGGCAGGTGGATTACCTGAGGATAGGAGTTTGAGACCAGCCTGGCCAACATGGCAAAACCCCGTCACAACTAAAAATACAAAATCATTAGCCAGGCATGGTGGCAGGTGCCTGTAATCCCAGCTACTCAGGAGGCTGAGGCAGAATTGCTTGAAAATGGGAGGCAGAGGCTGCAGTGAGATGAGATGGCACCACTGCACTCCAGCTTGGGTGACAGAACAAGACTCCATCTCAAAAAATAAAATAAAAAATAAAAGGTAGGAATTGCTAATGCCAAGCTCAAATGAAGAGACATTCCACAACCATTAGACAGTTGCATATCTCTGTTTCAAAGCACAGGAAGAATAAACACTGTGTTCATTACCACTGTTTCTGTGATTCTTGTGCAAGCAATGTTACATGACCTTACCCTGCTCAGATGCATGTTATAAAAGTTATTGGGTACCAAACATTTTGGAAAACTGCTAATGAATAAAGTAACACCACTGAAGTTCAAAGTCTTAATCTAATGTCTGTTCATAGAATACCTTTCCATCAGCCTGTTTCACAGCACTGGCTGAAGTATAGGACAATGGACTCAGGTTTTCTCCCTCAGGGGCATTCAAACTGACATTTAAAGGCAAAACAAACCTTCGAGGGAAAGATCTGACTGCTGAATTATAGACCTGTTTGGGAAGAAGAAAGAGATAAAAATTGTCATTCATATGATAACATCTAACTTTTGACTCAAAAATTTAACTACTAATAGCCTATTGTTGACTGGAAGCCTTACCAATCACATAAACAGTTAATTAACACATATTTGGTATGTTATATGTATTACATACTGTATTCTTACAATAAAGCAAACAAGAGAAAAGAAAATAAGAAAATGTTATTAAATGCCAAGCGTGGTGGCTTAAGCCTGTAATCCCAGCACTTTGGGAGGCCAAGGCAGGTGGAACACCTGAGGTCAGGAGTTCGAGACCAGCCTGGCCAATATGGCAAAACTCCATCTCTACTAAAAATACAAAAATTAGCTGAGCATAGTGGCAGGTGCCTGTAATCCCAGCTACTTGGGAGGCTGAGGCAGGAGAATCACTTGAACCCAGGAAGCAGAGGTTGCAGTGAGCTGAGATCACACCATTACACTCCAGCCTGGGCGACAGGAGCAAAACTCTGTCTCAAATAAAGTAAAATAAAATGCTATTAAAAATCATAAGGAGGCCGGGCGCGGTGGCTCAAGCCTGTAATCCCAGCACTTTGGGAGGCCGAGGCGGGTGGATCACGAGGTCAAGAGATCGAGACCATCTTGGTCAACATGGTGAAACCCCGTCTCTACTAAAAATACAAAAAATTAGCTGGGCATGGTGGTGCATGCCTGTAATCCCAGCTACTCAGGAGGCTGAGGCAGGAGAATTGCCTGA